GCGGGCAGTGTCACAGCTGACTGGCTCCATGGTACCTAACCATAACATCAACCATAGTTGACTGCTCTCCAGTGCGTAGACATGGAATACATGAACAAGATTTAGGTCATTATATTACTTCTCTGTAATTGTTAAATTGGAAATAGTAGAATAAAATCTCTCATTCACGGTGAAACTGTCGAGATAAGTCTGTGAGATCACACAGGCAATTATGCCATTGGGTTGTTGTCTATGTTAAAGAAGCAAAGATAAACAACCACAAAGGCTCAAGATGAAAAAAGTTCTGGTAGCTGTCTAGTCCTTCAGTGATTTTGAGTTAGGGTTCTAGTAAGACAGATAATTCAGACTGGTTTTAGTAGTTTTCACAGATTTATGAACCCTATGTATATTAATTCCTCCAATTGTATGTAAGTTTGTCATTCTGTGGTGGCTTATGTGTTGCTGTGATGCTGGAAATTGTGTCACTGGTACAGGTTTCAACAGAGCTTCCAAACTGAAAATGGACTATGAAGAAGGAATAGGCTGTCAACTTCTGAAGAATTAGCCACTAAAAAGCATACAGACAAAACTGAAACATTTTCAGATACGAATCACTCATAAAAAGAAGCAGAATCTCGTCAAAGATAGTGCCAGATGATGAGCCCCTCACGTTGGAAGGCACTCAAAATATGACTAAGGAAGAGCTGTCTTTTCTAAGTAGTGTTGACAATAATGACATGGAGGGAGTGAAGTACAGCCTTTTGGGTCTTCATTTGCTGATGGGGCACAAATCAAAATGAGAAGAAACAACTAAAAATGTTGATTAATAATTGGAACTTGGAATGTGAAGTATGAATCTAGGAACTGGAAGTTGTAAATAATTAGATGGAATGTATAAAATGGATGTTCTAAGCATTTGTGAGCATAAACAGACTGATATTGACCATTTTGAGTCAGAAATCATGTGGTTTACAATGCTGGGAAAAACACAATGCAGAGGAGTGGCTGTTCATTCATCTTCAAATAGGAAATTTCAAGATCTATTTTAATGTACATTGCTCTTGGTGATAGGATTTTATCTATCCCAATCTAAGGAGATCCAATAAACAATTATCCAAATTTATGCACCAACCACCAAAGCTGGTAATTAAGAACTTGAAGAATACGACCAACTTTTCCAGTCTGAAATCGGTCAAATATGAAATCAAGGTGCATTAATAATTATTGTCAATTGGAATGTAAAAGTTGGAAACAAAGAACAAGGGACAGTTGGAAAATACGGTCTTGGTGAAAGAAAAAAAGGTGGAGAGGTCATGATAAGGTTTTTCAAGATCAACCACCTGTTCATAGCAAATATCTATTTTCAAGCACAAAATAAGTGACCATCTATATGGACTTAAACAGATGGAATACACATAAATCAAACTGACTATATGTGTGGGAAGACACAATGGTGAAATTCAGTATCAGCAGCCAACACCAGGCCAGGGGCTGACTGCGGAACAGACGATTGATTGATTGTATGTTTGTTCAAGTTAAAGTTGAAGAACGTTTAAGTAAATCCACATAAGCCGAAATATAACCTTGAGTCTGCCTTACCTGAATTTTGAAAACATCTCAAGAGCAGATTTGCTGCATTGAACACTAATGAGAGAAGACCTGATGAGACGTGGGAGGATATAAAGAACATTTATGAATAAAGCAAAAGGTAATTAAAAGGGGGGGAAGGAAAAAAATATCAAAGTGCATGTCAGAAGAGACTCTGAAAGTTGCTTTTAACCATAGAGTAGCTAAAACACATGAAAAAATGATGAACGTAAAGGGCTGAGAAAATTTCAGAGTGAACCTCAAGAAGACAAAGTAAAACATTATAATAAAATGTGCAAAGACTTAGAATTAGAAAACCCAAAAGGAATGTGATCAAAATATCTTAAACTTAAAGAAGCCAAGAAGAAACTCAAGTGTTAAGTTGCAAGATTGAAAGATTCTACAGACAAATATTGAATGATGCAAGAAGCATCAAAAGAAGATGGAAAGAATACAGTCACTGTACCAAAATTAATTAGCCCACATTCAATCATTTCAAGAGGTATCACAGGAGAAAGAACAAATGGTACTGAAGGAAAAAGTCTGAGCTGAAACAAAAGCATTAGCCCAAAACAAGACTCCAGCTACTGATGGAGTACCAACTGAAATGTTTCAATGAGCTGATGAAGCAATG